CTAAAAGTTAATGAACTCTGGTCCAGCTTAGAAAGTATTAGGTTGGTGCATAAATAATGACGTAATAATGTTGTTTTTTGACGTTAAAAAATACATGAAAAAACGACATTATTACGTCATTACTTTTGCACCAACCTAATATCAATGATAATTTGAAGAAATAACGTTGAATTCCTCAACAGTCTCCACAAAACTTCAAATAATTTCTTTAATTCTGATTCGGGTAATAAGTTCAATTATGACCAAAAACCGACTTTTTGATCGAATTGTGGCTTATAATAAAAAATGTAGCCACATTTCAATCGTAGACGATCAGCTTAATGACTTAATTATGACGAAGAACCAAAACATTTTCAAAAATCCATATTGCCCTAAGGGTAGAATATGGCAACTTTTTTGCAGTGATTGTTTGGCTTTGTCCTTTACATCTTTCTGTAATCAAAACAGATCATCACTGCTGACGTTTACTGCCAGGAACTGATTCAAATACACATTCAGTTAAGCAAAATGCGTCTGGCATGGTTTTATCGACGAGATTCAATTACAAATGAAGTGGCAAGGCTCGGCAACTTGTGGAGCTCACCGACTTTGAATAAAAAAACGTTGTCACATCCGCCATATTTCCAGGATTGCTAGTACATTTTTAAGCCGATTTGCAACTATTAAAGTCAAGGGCAATTCGTTGCAAACAAGATGCAGAAATTTGCATTCAAATACTTTTTGGCAACGAAATCTCTACAATATTACCTTAGAAGGCATTCATAACCTTGTATCTCGATGTCAGAAATGTACAGATGTTCATGGTCCGTATTTCGATTTTTAACCCTTGTTGAAATATATTAATACATAAAATGTGATTCTAAGTAGAACATAATTTTCCGAACAACAGAAGACATTTGCTATTCAAAAGCTAGAGATTTAAGACGCTGATATAGCACATATATTTTACGGTTCATGAACCTATTCTATGTTATTTAAAGGTTAGCTTGTAGTAGGTTTTTGTGGAGATAATAATGGTTTTCAGTCTTACTAATTAACCAATAGCTGGGTGGAAAACGGAGTTCCAATTCTGGTTGGGGTCGTTATAATCACTTACGCGGAGTTCCCCTTGGGAAAGTTATCAATTCATCTCTTCACCCGCGGAACTGGGGAAGAAGATTTGGGTTCATACCTAATTTGAAAAAAAAAATGAAAATATGATATGGATATAAAAATGAGGATCAATTCTATATTACAATCAATATATGAAATGATCGCTCACTGTGTCGCCTCATTATTTTCTATACACTAATATTCCAGAGAATCTAAATCAATCTGCGTAGCTAATCCGTATTTCATTGATTGATTCATTCATTTTCTACGGCTTATCAACCTATTACAAGTTATTTATGTTACAGTTTTTTTTTTTTGTATATATATATATATATATATATATATATATATAACTAGTGAGTTAGTCCAAATGCCCGGACTCGCTTTATAGTCCACCAATAGAAGTTTAACCAATCAGAAGCCGCAGAACATTCTATCCGTCGTGTATAAAGGCGGCCATTTTGTTCACCTCTACCCGAATGACCAGTGCCAACTTGTCAGGCGAAGATGAACAGAAGGAAGTACTACGCTCTGCTACTTTGCTGCGATATCCACTGCTAACCTGAAAATACGATTTCCCACTGTCCATGAAATATTCACTGCTAACCTCTGGATTCTATACTCGAAGACGACCGTCATCTGAATAATTTAAAGCAAGATAATATTTTCTGAGATTCTAGGGATTTGGTGATACAAATCCTACTAATTAACCCATAGCTTAGGGGAGAAGAGGTGGATTTATACCTTATCAGATTTTAATGTTGATATAAAGTGGGACAACAATTCTATGTTACAATTAATGTATAAACAGATCCATCACTTTGTGGCCACATTAGTTTATATACCTTTATCTTTCAAAGAATGAAAATAAATCTAAAAGCCATGCCTGTGTAGCTAATCAGTATTTTTTGTTAGATTGTTTTGTGTTTTACGTCTTATCAACCCTTTTGTAGGTTATTTAAAGGCAGATATTTTGATTCTGTAAGAATGTTTTTAGATAATAATTATTTAGTGATGTATATGACTGTATATTAAGTAAGATTATACACGTGTATTTACGGTATTTAGTAGAAATTAGTTTATTAAATGGTCAGATGTATATATACATTTATTTTAAAAAAGAATGACTAATATTCAACTGGTAATATTTCGATTACGTCTTGGTCCGATATATAATACTCGACTAAAAACGGAACAATAGAAGAAAATGGATAAAAGCAGACGATAGCACAGAAAGAAAACCGTAAAATGTCCGAAGCGAAAGAGAATATGATTGGTGGTGGGGGAGATGCCTATAAGAAGACATTAGTCTTTGAATTGGAAAACAATCCGCCTTCAACGATTGGCGAAGTCGTTATTTGCCAAACATCGAGGCGATTTTAAACAGAAAGCAGTAATTCGATGCGTCCGTAGAAATATACAAATAGTAAATAGATGAACTTCAGCCATTTAAAAGGAAAAAAAATCATAGGTAGTCACAAAAGCTTTTAACGCCATCACCTAGACAATGGCTGTACAAATCAAAACTACTCTATTTCACGTTATATGCGAAAAGGTTTTTTATTTTTAATCTCATTCTTAAACTCAGTTTACACCCTTCACAGGGAACATCAAATTTAAGGTTAATCTTGGGATCTAGTAATAACTCACCCTTAAGATTTAAGATAGTTACTAAAAATATAAAGGAACTAACAAGACAAAAGACGTACTCGGGAACAGGTGCACAAATCAAGGACAGAGCGCTGATAATAGAGAAATGAATATACTGGCGCCTGGACGAATATATTGGAGATCTCTTTCACGATGAAAAAAAACAACCTGCAATACACAGAAATATCAACGGACTGGAAATATTAAAATCTGAAGAGAAAGATGGACTGGTCAAATTGAACAGAAACAAAACGGCAGAGCCAGACGGAATTGTAATAGAGATGCTGGCAGCTTTAGACGATTTCAACATATACAAGACGACAGAAATAATATATGAAATCTGCGACCGTGGTGATATACCGGTGGACCTAAAATGTTTCGCCATATTTATTACAACGTTTCGGCCTTTCAATATCTACCTATATTTCTGAGATGAGGTATTATGTATTTTTTACATTATTCGGACTATTGTCCTAATCTTTGTCGCCATATTTTTATTTATTTTCGTTTCATTATTTAAAAAGGTCATGTTCCAGCTTTCTTTAGTATCTGCCTATATTTCTGAGATGAGGTATTATGTACAATATTTATATTATTCGGACTATTGTCCTCATCTTTGTCGCCATATTTATTTATTACAACGTTTCGGCCTTTCAGTCCATCTGTTTAGTATATTTCTGAGAGTTGAGGTATTTACACTATTTATATTATTCAGACTATTGTCCCCATCTTTGTCGCCATATTTTGAAATATAACGTTTTATATTTCAGTATCTGTCTATATTTCTGAGATGAGGTATTATGTACATTATTTACATTACTCGAACTATTGTCCTCATCTTTGTCGCCATATTTCTTACGACATTTCGGCTATTGTTCGCTCCGTCCTTCTTCAGGTGTTTGTAATGTCGAACTGAACCCTTTATTTCGCTGACTGGGGTAGACTGTTCTAGTTCTACGTGTCATGTTTAATGGATATCAGTTATCAGTTATCAGTTAATTTCCCTCTGAAAGTTCTCCATTGCCGTAACCGGGTATTGAACTCACACTCATTGGGTTCTGTCACTGGATCAAACTGTCAAAGACACATGGTACAGTGGATAAAGGCGTTGGTTGGATCCACTGACAGAATTTAGTATCGTTTCTCATATATTCATTTTAGTAATAAGCCAGTTTAACATATTTATTAATACTTATCTGTTTTAATTCCATGTTTATCTGGACTCACATGAGTCCGTCAATATTTTTTGTGGGACCAATGATCCAAGAGTCCATAAATATTTATTATAAGATGTCCTCGCCATGCAACCAAAGATGTGATTCTTGCAGCAGTTGTTAAGATGGTATCTCTTTTTCTTTATATTTTTCTTTCTATTTTTCTATCTTTCCATCTTTCTTTCTTTCTTTGTTTCTATCTTTGTTTCTATTTTTCTATCCTTCTTCATATTTTTCTAACATTCTTTCTTTCTTTCTTTTTTTCTATCCTTCTTTATATTTTTCTCTCTTTTTTTCTATCTTTCTTTCTATTTTTCGTTGTTTTTCTTTCTTTCTATTTTTCTATCTTTCCTTTTTTCTTTCTTTCTATTTTTCTATCTTTCCTTCTTTCTTTCTTTCTATGTTTCTATATATTTTTATATCTTCCTTTCTTTTTACTTTCGACTTTTCTATTTTTCTTTCTTTTTTTCTATTTTTCTTTGTTTTTTTTTTTTTCTATTTTTTCTATCTTTGTTTTTATCTTTCTTTCTATTTTTCTATATTTCCTTCTATCTTTCTTTCTATTTTTCTATATTTCCTTCTTTCTTTCTTTCTTTATATTTTTCTTTTTTTTTTTCTATTTTTCTTTCTATTTTTCTATTTTTTTCATCTTTTTTTTTTATTTTTTTGGATTCTTCCTTCTTTCTTTTTGTTTTAATTTCTATTTTTTTTTTTTTTTTCTTTTTTTTTATTTTTTTTTTTTTTTATCTTTTCTTTTTTTGTCTTTTCTTTATTTCTTTCTATTTTTTTTTTTTCTTTTTTTTTTTATCTTTTTTTTTTTCTTTTTTTTCTTTTTTTTCTATTTTTCTATCTTTCCTTCTTTCTTTCTTTCTTTATATTTTTCTATTTTTCTTTCTATTTTTCTATCTTTCTTTCTTCTTTTTTCTTTAAAATTCTTCTTTCTTGAAAAGAATTGTTTTTTTTTTTTTTTTTTTTCTATTTTTGTTTTTCTTTCTTTTTTTCTTTCAACTCTTTCTTTTCTTTTTTTCTTCTTTTTTTTTTCTCATGACAAAAATCATTTTTTTATTTTTTTTCTTTTTTTCTTTTTTTCTTTTTTCTTTTTTTTCTTTTTTTTCTTTTCCTTTTTTTTTTTTTCTTTTTTTATATTTTTTTCTTTTTTTATATTTTTTCCTTTCTAATTTCTTTCTTTCTTTCTTTCTTTCTTTTTTTTTTTTTTTCCATTTTTCTTTCTATCTTTCTTTCTTTCTTTCTTTCTTTCTTTTTTCTTTCTTTCTTTCTTTCTTTCTTTTCTTTCTTTCTTTTCTTTCTTTTTTTTCTTCTTTCTTTTCTATCTTTCTTTCTTTCTTTCTTTTTCTTTCTTTCTTTCTATCTTTTCTTTCTTTCTTTCTTTCTTTCTTTCTTTCTTTCTTTTTCTTTCTTTCTTTCTTTCTTTCTTTCTTTCTTTCTTTCTATCTTTCTTTCTTTCTTTTTCTTTCTTTCTATTTTCTTTTTAATCTTTCTTCTTTTTCTATCTTTTTCTTTCTTTCTTTCTTTCCTATCTTTCTTTCTATCTTTCTTTCTATCTTTCTATCTTTCTTTCTATCTTTCTATCTTTCTTTCTTTCTATCTTTCTTTCTATTTCTGTATTTTTTTCAATTTTTCTGTCTATTTTTCTATGTATTTTTCTATCTGTCTTTGTATTTTTCTATCTTTGTATTTTTCTCCCATTCTTTGTATTTTTCTCCCATTCTTTGTATTTTTTCTTTCTTTCTTTCTTTCTTTTTTCTTTCTTTCTTTCTTTCTCACACCTTGTAATTATTCCCTTTTTACCCAAAGCAAATAGAAATAAAATAATGGAAAAATAAATATGAAAAGAACCCAATAGGTTGTTATGTTTAAAAAGCAAAAAAACAAAACAAAACAAAATCTAAAAGCCTTTGTTTTATTTATTTCATCGTTTATTTCTTTCTTTGTTAATCAAATTATTTCAAAGAAATTATTTTGGTGAAATATCTTCGAAATCGTTACATAGAAAACCTTTCGTCTGACCCCAAACAACTCCTTAGAGTTTGTGGATTACCCCACTTGTCTTCGCCATAAACGTCCGTTGGGAGGCGCTTTAAAAAAAGCAAACATATTCTCTCTCATTCTATTTTTTATTCTTGCTTCCAGATGTAATCGAACGTACCGTGCTGTTCGATAAAAGTGACTCAACTGATTTTTTTTTACTAAATGTTCTCTTCTCCGATGAAACGAATAAGGATGAAAGGATAAGCGATCTAAAATCCGAAGAAGCTTTGAAAGCTCTTTGAATTTAGCAGTAAGTACTGTCGAGCATTTGTTCAGTATAATGTTCTGGGGATGCTTTTCTTTTCATGGAACTGGTTTCTTAAAACCTATTGAAAAGACCCCCAGGAAATAGAAAACTTATGGAGCATGTTGCTCAACTGCTTTCTCGAGAGCCTGTAGTTTATAATGCTCCATAAGTTTTCTATGTGGTTGAAGTCAGGAGATTGGGGCGCCCATGTCATAACACTCGCCTGCTTCTCATCAAAGTATTCCTTCATCAATTTTTATTTGTGACAGGGAGCATTATCCTGCATAAAAATGAGCTTGGTGGGGTCGATTTGCACCCTTTCAGTAGAAGGGAGCAGACAAGACTCTAAAATTCTCTTGTACTGCTCGCTCCTTTTGTTTTTGGTTGATTCATTTTGTATGCTTTATTAAGCCTTTTCAATTTATTTTAAACCAGAAAATATTTTTAGATTTTAAGACCTATTTTTGTGGAGCTGATAATGATATAAGATGTAACTTCCGCAATAGTTGTTAAGATTGTAGCTGCCAATAATAAATCCTGATAGGACTTCTAATTTTCTCAGAATCGAATCTGCGTATAGCTTTAATAAGTCCTTTAAGAAGACGTGTACTTGTCTTATACAACTTCTTATTTTTGTATATTTATTGAATCTGTTTTCGATCCGTATGCAGAAGGTTTGATGCCAATATAGATTCTGGTTTGCTCTAATATCATTCCTAAATGTGACAAGCTTTGTGACGTGAACTCAAACTAAAAAGGGAGAATATGAAAAAAGTCAGCGATAAAAAAAAAACATTATCACAGGAAAAAGGAGGCAATAAAACGGCGCGACAAATAGAGTGATGAACTAAAAGGGCAGATTAGCGCAGGCAGTGCTCTGAAGGGCGGGATTCCTGTGATTTTTACGACCTTAAATGTTCATCAGTCATTCTCATATTAGGCGAAAATTTTTCCTTTTTTTTTGTGCTGAGTCATATACCGAGTTGCGCAATTTCTTTTAAAACAAATCAATCCTTTAGTCTCCAAGAAAGAAACAGATTGAGAGGAAAGGTTAGGAAGGAAGATGAAAGGAGAAACAACGTAAGATGTTTACATCAGTCGGCTTCTATTAAGCTGTGCGTTTTGGACGAATAAAAAAAAAAAAAAAGAAAAAAAAAAACCAACTCCGACAGGATCTTTGACGGTATTCCCTTTCATTTGACATTCAACGATGACAAATAAAGATATATAAACAATATCGTTAATTTACTTTAACAAAATCGAACAAAATAAGCGAGATCTTTTCTCTAACGTCTAACATGGCAGGTAGAATTGATTTCACTAAATACTTGAAGACATTCTCTCGATTTTATGAGTAAAGAATGACTGACACATCTGTTATGTCGACAGAGAACCGCGTAAAACAATTATATTTTTTTTAAATATGGAAGCAACTGAAGCTCAGTTTTTGAATCTTAAATTGTTCCCAAAATAATTACAATGCAGCAATTTGAAAAAAGCGATCTATATTCAGTTTGAATGTTTTTAGTTCTTCGAATATGTGCCATTATCGTAATACAATCTTAATCTGTTCAAGAGTAATGTCAACTGTTTTCTATCAACCATGATCAGATCAAAAATTGAGTGTTTTTAATCATTAAATTCTATATCTATAATTCTCAAAAAAAATGTGTGTATGTATGTGTATGTGTGTGATCGGATATTGTTTATGCGTTTCCACAGTTTTTATCCCAATTTAGATTATTTGTTTTTATTTTTTATTTTATTTATTCATTTATTTTTATTCGGTAGATAATTCTCCAGTGCCGGTTTTGAGTCCAAATTGGCTGGAAACAAGTTACAACATTGAAGGTGAAAAATCGAAAAAAAAACCCCTGATTTTTTGAGCAAAAATCAAAGGTAGTATTTAATGTGTGTAAAACACAGCGTACAATCAATTTAGAGAGTTGAAATCTAACGCAAATGATTATTAGAATTATAAAAAAAATTATATTATAAATAAAAAATATCGTATATTATTATTATGACGGTCAATGGAAGAGGTTCCTTCCTTGAAAGATTGTGAACGCTAAAAGGGCCCTTTTCAGGCCCCAACACCCAATTCAAATTTATTATACCCCTCCCCCATTTGGGGATGTGCCTCATTATTGCACCCAATTGTTGTTACTAATATTGATTTTTTTAAAATCTGACTTTAAACTTAAACTGCTCCAAATGAACAAAAAAATGTCCCTGTAATGAAACACCCAGGACGGAAAACAGGTTATAAATTATATATATATATATATATATATATATATTTTATTATAAAATGTTGGATTAAATTAAAATTTTTTTGTATTGTTGAAGAATATCGATAAATTTTTGTCTAGATTTTATATTAAATCTTACGAAATTTGTATCAATTTATAAACCAATCGAATTTAATTTGAAAAATCATGATTTGTTTGGAAAAAAACCCTACAAAAAAACCTAATTTAATTTAATTAATTTTTTTTTAATACTTAATGGTAAACAATATTTTTAAAGAAAATATCTTGTTTTCCTTTTTAAAAGCGAGGATTAAATTCTTTGGATTTCTTACTCTGGAGCATGCAATATACCACTGGTCAATTAATCATTTATGGATAAAAATTCTAAAATTTTGAAGCGTTTGAACTTGTTTATTTTGTTATATCTCATTTTAAACTCAGAAACCGAAAATATGGATTCTCGCTTTTAAAATAATTCTTTTTTTATACATTTAGGAAAACATCTAAAAAGTACTCGAATATATTTGTTTTTTTTATTAGGTCGAAAATAACTTATTTCATCTATTTTCGTTTTGATTACAAATGTAGCTTATATTAAAAAAAGTTTAAAAAACTTTATATTTTGCATTTTATTACCCTTATATTTTGCATTTTTCCCCAAAATTGGTTTCAATTGACAATATACGGAAATTTCACAGGGTGTGATGGACTAACTAAATTTACAATGCTATATATATATATATATATATATATATTTCTGTATACATGAATTAAATCAATCTCTGATATTGAGCACTTTATCCCATAAATAAACGGTTTTATATAAAATAATATTTTATCATATATATATATATATATATATATATATATAAATATTTCTATTTAACCATATAGAAAGATATAATTATGAATAAAAATGACAATAAAAAAAATTTAATTGCTTAATACGTTTTTGTCCAAAAAATTTTCATTTAACAATATGAAAATAGAAAATTTCAACATTCGATGGAGTTTATCATAGGAATATTGTTTTTTTTATTTATTAGTTACCTTGTTTAATTAAATTCATTTCAATTTTGCTTTGATAAAGTCCATATTGGACGAAATGCGTCAACAATTAACTAATTTCCATATTGTCATATTTATTCATATATATATAAATATATATATATATATATATATATATATATATATATATATATATATATATATAAATGTTTAACTCCTAATACAAGATTTAACTGAGCACTCAAATTAGTTCGTTTATGGTGGATTTGGTTGAATCGTTTTTTACGGTTCATCAACAAGTTCCATTTTATTTTAAACCAGAAAATATTTTTCGATTTTAAGAACTGTTTTTGTGGAGTTAATGATACAATGTGTGTCTCCCCTAATAGTTGTTAAAATTGTAGCTGCCAATAATAAATCCTGATAGGACTTCTAATTTTCTCAGAATCAAATCTCCGTGTAGGTCTAATAAGTCTTTTAAGAAGACGCATCCTTGAGTTACACAACTTCTTACATTTGTATATTTACTGAATCTGTTTTCTCTCCGTATGAAGGAGGTTTGGTGCCGGTATAGATTATGAATTGTTGTAATATTCTTCCCAAATGTGTCCTCATTTTTGATGATCGGTTCTCAAATTTTAAAAGATATATGAAGAAATTTGATCTGGGTTTTTTTTTTTTATTATCGCAAGAAGAAGGATGCAATAAAACGGCGCGACAAATTTAGCGGTCTTGTTATAAAGGGCAGATTTTAAAAAAAGAGGGCTTTGAATAGCAGGTTTTTTTTTTTTTATTTTCCCTCGACCTTAAATGTCCGCCAGTAACGTCTCATATGAGGCGAAGAATTTTTGCTTCTTCTTATTTTTTTATTTTTATTTTTTTTTTTTGCTGAGTCACTTCCGAGTGTGCGCAGTGAGGCGTAAGTTACTTCCCTTAGTCTCCAAGAAACAAACGGATTGAGAGGAAAGGTTAGGAAGAAAAATGAAAACGAGAAACAACGAAAGATGTTTATAAAATTAATAATATTTCTATTTAAATATGCGTTTTGGACGAATAAAAAAAAACAACAAACAAAAAAAAAAATTGTAAAAATTTGTCTCCGATAGGATATTTTATTTAATATTTTATTTCATTTGACTATCTACGATGCATTTTTTGCTGACTCACTTTAGGAATGCAAGTCACTATTTAACCCATAGATGGGAGTAGAAAAGTTGGATTCCTACCTTCCCCAAGGA